AAACTCAGCTGCCGCAGTTGCTTCAGATTTGACGCATGCACCAACGAAAATACCATGTACCCAGTCAAAGGATTCAAAGACTAGTGGCACGCCAGTAGGGCTGAAGAAGGAAAGTAGACATACAAAATTTTGTAGACCTTTAAAATATTTTTTAAAAATTACTCACCGCCGACCACCAAAAATGATGGCATCTATTGGAACACCTTCTGGTTTTTCCCAGTCTGGGTGGATAATCGGGCACTGGCCAGCCGGTGCAGTGAATCGAGAGTTAGGATGGGCGGCCTTGTCGGGGTCTCCAATGTGCCATGGTTTCCCATGCCAGTCGATCATGTCAACTTTCTGCAAATAATCTTATTAGCTTCCTAAAATGCATGCATACTCAGTAGTAAGAACTGACCGGGTTTTTGATTTCCTTCTCTAAACCTTCCCAGAAGTACTCGCCGTCTGCTGTTTCAGCGACATTAGTGAAGATGGAGTTTTCTTGGAAGCTGGCCATGGCCATAGGGTTGGTTTTGTTAGAAGTTCCTGGCGCCACACCAAAGAAGCCATATTCAGGATTAATGGCATGCAGCCTGCCGTCCTCTGCGAATTTCATCCAGGCAATATCGTCGCCGATAACGCGGATTTTGAATCCCGGTAATGCTGGTTGTAACATAGCAAGATTTGTTTTTCCACATGCAGATGGGAAGGCAGCAGCGACGAAACGCTCTTGACCGCCATCAGCAGGTGTAATACCCATAATAAGCATGTGTTCTGCCATCCATCCTTCGTCATATCCAATGTTCATGGCAATACGAAGAGCAAAGCACTTCTTACCCAGGAGCGAGTTACCGCCATAGCCAGATCCGAATGACCAAATTTCTCTTTCTGCTGGTCTGTGTGCAATGATTGTCTGCTCTGGGTTGCAAGGCCAGTTATTAATTATTTCGGCTGAAAACAACTTTCCGTTCTATGTGTGACCAATTTATGATAAAAAATCAAAAACGTTTGTTAAAGTATTACTCTTAACAGGCAGCGGTTGGCCGACAGAATGGATGCATCGCACGAAGTTGGCATCATCTTTTTTTAGTTCGTTAAGAACATCCGTGCCCATACGTGTCATGATGCGCATGCAGAGAACGACATATCTGAAGGGAATAAGTACAGCAATTTGTTTCATTTGCTTTTTAAATTGAAACATCTAAACTAAAAGATTTTACCTAGAATCTGTTAACTCAATGCCAATTTTTGACAGAGGGCCACCAACTGGTCCCATAGAGTACGGAATAACGTACATTATGCGCCCTATAATTGCAGAGAATTAATCCTAGCACATTATCAACTGGGGGAATTTGTGTGTCATTGGGGAATTAACTTATTAACCATTCATGCATCCTGGATAGCGCTCATCAAGCATAACTTCAAAATCTTTTGGAGAGATCCATTGTCCCATCATTGATTTTTCGCCTTCTGGTATGTGACAGACAGAGTCGTATTTCTCAGGTGTGATCATGAAAGTCTTTGATTCTACACGGGCGACATCACGTGGGTCTGTGCGGCAAATGTAACTGAAAGTATCAAAAAATTTAAAAAAGAACATTTAAAAGTCTTTAATAATCCCACGGCTACTGAAAATTACACTACCAATTCTTGTAAGCCTTCAGAGGCTTCAAAACTCCGCTCTTGCAGCACGAGTCAATAAGTTCTTTCATCTCCTGTTCGGAACCATCGCAAATGTAGATGGCTTTTGGTTTCATTAGCTCCGCTTTTTCCGCAACAAACCTTTTCACTTTAGGGGACATGCTTAGAAAGTCGCCCTAAAATTACTTGTGTGCTTAATTTGCACGCAGTAGTTGAAAAAAAGCTTCTTATTTCATTTTTTAAGGTCGGGGATATGGTCTCGCTAGGATACATTAATTCGGCTAAAATATACCTTAATGATGGGGATATGGTTTGTTGTGTGCGTGACGACTTCGTTTACGACCTGCAACTGACTGCTTGTAATTTCGCTCATTTTTCTTCGCTGAGTTTGTTACATTGACTTGAAAACAAAAAGAACTAGAAATGAAAAAGTAAAAAACTTGCATTGAAGTCGCTATCCTTAATTTCCGCGAGAGAACGACAAGCCATTTGTACCTAAAATGAAAATGGTTGAGCAGAATGATGAAATGGGGTCCTAATGTTGGGTACAGTAATTGTCGAAGCGGCAGTAACTCGTTATACGACGCTGGCCTTTCAGTTATTCAAAAAAAAAAAAAAAAATTACACGAAGAAATAAATGGAGCTGAAGGTTAGGAAATGAATAATAAGTAAATTTTTCAAGCATACTGTTCAGTGTTCCTGTACGAAGCCGCAAAAATCGCAGGCCAGGTCCGCAAAAAACAAAAATGATAATCAGATGCGCGTTGACAGAATATAATGAAATATAATTTTAAAGATTCTTACTGCAGTAATCGTCTAAGAAAACTTTTTACGCAATTCTGTTTTTCTTCTAAAAGAGAATACGTTTATTACTTTTCAATATTTACGTCGGGTACAGATAACAAAGGCGTTTATATATAATAACGGACTTTCGTCACGTGAAATCGAGGAGCTTGCATAAAACTAAATTTCTCTTTGACCTTGGTTTGCCGTTTACAAACAGACGTATAAAGCTAAATGACAAAAATGGGTTATACTTGCAGTATTTTATTTTTTCAGGCGCTTCATGTTGGCGTCATGTTGTAATTAAAGATTCAGAAAATTTTACAGTCGGTTATGAAAGTAGTGATGGGAGCAAGTCAAACACAAAATTGCCCATAGATCTCCTCGTGGCGGTTTCAATTTTATTTACACGAGCAAGTTTTGATCCACTCGAACATTACTTAAACTATTCGCAAAAATGCTTCACATGCCGCCTTCCCCTTCCCCTCCTCAGGTTTAGTTAGATTTTAGCGGATGACTGCTTCTAAAAAACTGAAGTTAATGAAACGTTAGGTACGTTCGAACAGCAAAAACACGCAAACGCTATACCATTCAAATCCGTAATAATTCTTTATCATAAAGAAGTTTGAAAATAAAGACCAATCTTGGCTCCTGAGGATGAAGAAGTCAGTAACCAAAGAGAGATATCCGGACAGCACTAGAAATCTCGCTAGCGCAGCAGTCCCGACTTTCATCCCACTGCTTCCTATTGAGCAGTCTATTTATTCAAGTGGAGCATAAACAGAGATTCGCAGTGTTATCACAGCGATAACCTTCTTACTAACTTTTAATACAAGAAAACATTCAAAAAAATGTAATTCAAAAGTTGTTCAGTTCCGCTTTCTGTTCGTGAATTAGCGCTAAGAACCAGAAGAATAAAGGCTTCAATACGATGCATTTTCAAAAAAGCATTGTGAGACTTTTGTGGTTAGTTACTGTGACAGAAGTCGAAGGTACTATTATTGTGCGTGCGCATACTACCCTACTTGGTGGTAGATTCTATCTTAAATTTGCTTTTCTTCTATTTGCTGCAGTTCTTTGCTAAGCATACTTTGACCAGCTGCATTTTTCCATAAAACAGAAAACTTGTCGGGACTTGTGAACGGCACCAACTGTGAAAATTGCCAAGTTGGTAAGATGTAGATTTAAATTAGATAAGAAGAATTAGTACTATAAAGAGCGGGGCTCCCTCGTTGACGTTCAACGAGAAAACAAATGTGGAGAACAAACAGTTGGTCGGTAAGGAGATTCGAATTAGGATGAAGCTGACTGACACTGCGAGCACTAGCACTAAAGATGATGGGTGCGACACGCAGTGTATGCAATTTTTCGCAAGGACCTCTTTCCGTTGGAATTTCTAAATGCAAACTCAGTAAAACAAAACAAGTTAGGTTGAGAGACAATATCTGTAAAGACTAGGTGACAAAAAAGTAGCTGCACGATTAGTTTTACCTGCAAGTCAACGGCGTTTATAGCCAACCTAATAAACAACAAAACGAAATCAGCAAGGGCAAATAAACACCCAACGATACAACCGCCCTGCACTCACCGATATTGAGCAAGGCGGACTGGGCAGGCTCCGAAGTAACAGTGATGAAATAGGGGAAACAGAGACGAGTGTGGAATTAGATGAGGCAACACGCGTCGCAAAAGTTTTTGAAATGAAAGTGTTTTTGTGGAATCGTTGAGAAGCGGAAAAATCTGAAAAATTTTCTGCGTCTAACTCTATCTATATAAATATATAGATGCGCATATAGTTGCTGCTGCTTAGTGTATTTAGAGTGCTCCGCCCAACTGTATGCTCATTGCTATCCATAAGGCAGCCACTTGGCGTTTTAAATGCTAAGGGTCTAACACAATTGTTTAGATCTGCACG